AAAAAAAAAAAAAAATGTACATGGTGTAATTTTCTCAATGTAGATTGGAGGCATTACTTTTATATTCGGCCCAAAGTCCAAAACTATACAAGAGCGGCTCTGGTATAATCGTACTTGGGACGTTATGTAGTTTGTGATGTCACAAAACTCGGGCAAATTATCAGAACGCCACAACTGAGGGACGGCCTCACCAAAACACCTTTAGTAAGGGAGTGCATCACCAGAAAGCCACTGCTAATGCGTGTAGCTATCTTCTTATAGCAGCATCCATATATTTTACGATTTTCATTTGTTTTTAAGTCAAAACATGCATAAGAACTGACCCTTTTGCCCCTGAACCATTTTGACCTCTATAGACACCTAAAAATCAGAGAAAATACCAAATTTTTTTATTTTTAACTTAAAATAAGGAAAAATGAAAAACTGTTGTTTGATGGCTCAAAAAATACATAACTTTCATTTCTAAAATTCCAAAAGTCCGAAAAATATGAATCATTAATTTTAGAAACAAAATAAAAAAGACAAATATTCAGATACAAATAATGAAAAATTTCCCATGACTTTATGGCATATGGACCTTCCAACAGCATATTTCACATATAAAAGAAAACAATTGCAGCCACAAATAATGCAAATCAGAGTTCAACTCGTATTTTGTAATGGTAGAACTGATTAGGAAGGGGCATGCCGGTCATTTTCTGCCGTGATTTAGGCCAAAAAAAAAAAGAAATCACAAAATGGCGCTGTGGAACGACGATGATATAGACTTGTGGCCTTCTGGTGAAGCTCAGTTTACTAAAGGCGTTTTGGTGAGGCCGCTCCTTAGTTGTGGCGTTCTGATAATTTTCCCACAAAACTCAAATGTATATGGAGCATAAAAGAGTTCTCTATACTTTCTGTCAAGCCAATTTATCTCAAAGAGAAAAAAAAAATAAAAAAAAAAAAACAAAAATCGCGCGGTTTTTCAAAAGTCGCGAGTTGTGTTACACGACATGTATTATATCAACACGCGATATCGCCACTCGTGCTGGCTGACCCCTCTGAAGAAATCCTTACGCCACGCGGCAAATGCATTTGCTGCGTGTGGTCCGCTTCACTGTATCCGGGCAGCTGTTGGTGAGATAATCGAGGCTCGACGTTTTTGTGATAAGTATTAGTATGACAGCCAACCGAGGCCCTGCAAAGTGGACAAGTTGCGTTCGTGTGGAGCCAAAGGTGGATGCAGCTCTCGTGGAACACGTGCTTGCACTTTTCAACTAGGACTAGCTCTTCTTTCGTCTCGAATTCCCCTAAGCAAACACAACACCTGCTTGTACAGTAATTCTACATTCCTTAATTCATTTTATTTTAACTAATTTGATATTATATGCATGTCTCATAGTCCCTTTTTATTTTATTTTTTCATAGAAAATGGGCTCCTATGTTTTGTTTTGTTTTGTTTTTTTCTTGTTAATGTATATTTTCTTGAAAATTTTAAAATGTGGTTAAGAAAAGCTAGCATCTTTCATGTGAGACAGTGGACTCTTTAACAGATTCTGTGTGGAGGTAAAAGGTAATGCTTTAGTTTGAAACATTCAGCTTATAAGTAAATATGCTCTGAGCGAGCATATGTGCTTGTCTGATTGAAAGTCCAAAAAGAGTCCCTTTTCAACTGATAAAAAGATATGGAAAGGGAAAATAAGAAAAATTCTCTTTGACCAATTTCTTTGACCAAGAATCAACCCGAATCGTATACGATCGTGCTGCGTGCAAATTGATGCACGAGGGATTTTTCATGAAAGTGATGATCGGCAAATAAGAGCAAGCGATCGAAACAACTTACAAGGAGTCGTTTGTTTCGGTATACTCATCATCGAACGAAATCCTGCATAGCTTGGTCTTCAGCTCACTTTTCGAACACGGGTCATGAGGAGACTGCATAAAAAATAGATTTGAGTATTATAACTGTATACAAACATAACATATATATGTATAACATATGCTAGCTAGATATGGGTCTATTATTTATCATCATGAAGTAATACTTTTGCAGATGCTTACTGTTGTTGTAGCTGAGCCGTTAACTGTCCTCGGGAGAAGATGTGGGGCCGATCGCTCGGAGGAGGCTCGTCTCTTGAGGTAAAACAGATAGAAGAGGAGAAAAAGAATGATTGAGAAAAGGATGGGGATTGAGAATATGAAAGCTTGGTAGAGCTTGAGTTGGATTTCTTGGGGGTATTGGTGAGGTGGGCTTGAAATTTGAGGAGGGCTCATCACTTTAAGTATGCTCTATAGCTATGATAGAAATCTATAGTTAGAAAAAAATAAATAAAAAAGCAATTTTATTGAAAATAGAACAAATGAGATCTTTTCATTCTCTGCCAAGGCTCTTAGGTCTTGTGTGTTTTATGAAGGTGATTGTGGGGGTGGTGTATGGACAGAGGTGATGCTGTTTAAGGATTTTTTTCATGGGACCCACAAAAGGTGTTGAGGTAAAATGCAACTTTTTTTGGTCTAAGAGATCAAATAAGAGAAATTTACTCCTTCTATAGCTCCTTGTAATCATATTTTTAAGAATACGATATACACATCTTATTTTGACAAATACGAATTTAATGTTAATTAAAGTAAGTTAAAAGTAATTTACAAAATAAAACTGCACACATTAAATTCCTCCAACTGCGGTATTGGACCACTAAAATTAAGAATCTTGCAAATCTTTTATTTACCATAATTATTTTGCAAATCTTTTATTGGACCAATTTATAAATTACGTCTCTATTTCTTCTACAAACAATTCTTCTCTATCATTTTATTGAAACTGTAAAAAAAGTTTGAACAAATCCATGAGCTGGTATGTTCTGTTTTTGAAGAAAATATTAATGGCGAAAAGGACGGACGAATCATTTGTAATTGAATTGCCTTACGAATTGTCAAAATGATGCACAACGGACTCGTTTGAGATCTCTTAGCCGCAAGGTGAACCACAATGGACCGAAAATTCACGTGAATAAGTGTTTTATAATCACGGGAAATAATCGCGAAAAAATAATTGTTAGAATTAGGATGAATCACTTGGTCCAATTTTGGAGAAGTTGCAGTATGAATAAATGTTGTATAATCACATAAAATAAATCAAGAAAAAATATTTGAATTAGGATGAATATATTTATATATATACACATTAACATTCTTAAAAGCACCATTCCTACAACGTTAAACATTACCAACAGTCCTGAAAAGACATTGTTAATGACACTAACAAGCCCTTGGCAAACAAAATCGATATCTTCGTCAATGTCTTTATGTGTGATAATGTTTTCTTTATCTACCGTTTATGTTGAGTATAACTTATTATGCTTATGGGTGATATGAAAATTTATTATTTGTTGTGTTATGGAAAAAACGATCGTCCATCCAGTTGTTCATAAAAAAAAGTTGTGATCCCTATTGGGAATAGAAAAAAATTCGGTAGAGCAAAATTCGGTTTAATCGATATTTTAAATTCGAAAAAAAAAAATCGTTTAACCACCAACTATATGTTAGATATACTGTATATATACATTAGATATACATGATCTGACAATTCTCTATTATTAACCGTATACTTATACATAAGATAAACAATAAATAAACAATTTTGAAAATTGATTAAACATAACGTTAGTTAAATAGAAAGTACTCTAATCCGTTGGATGGTACTCTTCTATTTAAATAAAGTAAATGTGGTGTTAACGTAATTGTATGGTAAAATATATGTGTGCATATGTTAAAGTGTACGTTTAACAAATTATATCCTAAAAGTTATGTTTGCTAACGTATAAACAACATCATATATTGCGTATATATTACAGATATCTTGAAACATGATATATGCTTTTGTAAACTGAAATAAATTACTTGTATTTGTTTACTTATCCCTGTCATTTTTATATACAAAAAATAAACATTAAATAAACAAAAAAAAATTAAGATAACACATAAACATAATAAGTTATAGTGAACATAAACGGTAGATAAACAAATATTATCACACACAAGCCATTGACGAATATATTGATTTTATTTGACAAAGATTTGCTTTCTGAGACCAAACATCAAATCAGTTTCCACGCTTTAATTGAAGTATTAAGACACATGAGCACTTTTATCTCTAAACGTTTCACCTACCACAATATTAGTATTCATGCATCCATCGACCACTACTCCAACTGTCCTGGAGTTGTTTATTTCTAGTTTATCTTCCGTTTATTTCGCTGTTTTCAACATAGCATCTGTAGAATGTTCGGCGAATCTTCTGTAATAACCATCATCTTCTGAAGCTTCTCGTGCCGTTTCTAGACGTTTTAATGCTGCTATATCACTCGAGGCCATATATTCCTGAAAATAAACATTTTTTTCTCAACAACAAGATGATCGAACTCTACTGAAACAGCAAGAATTAAAAATTTTGCATCTTAATTCAACCAAAATCAAACCAACAACACACAATAAACTCAAATCTTCAACCTTTTACAACCCAAGCTTATAACAAATCAATACAAAAACTTGATTCAAGCTCAAGACTCAAAATTTAGCATCAGCTAATCAAGAAACAACAATCCTACGTTTTCACTAGAACTAAAAACATAAAAAAAGGTAACAGAAACTAAAAAAATTAAAAATTAAAAAACTAACCTAGGTGAGCTCCGACATTCGCCTCGTTACCATAATCACCGCCTCGTTAAACAGGTCACCCGTCGGAGAAGGTTTCCTCGATGAGTGCAACGAATAAATCTTCGACGGTTGGGTGGTAAACAAGAGTCCGGAGTTCGGCACGCCGTCGTGCAACCGCCGCGAGAAGATGAAACTTGCATAGTGATTTGGGAGAAATTATGGAAAAGAATGATTGATATGACCAAGATATTTGGTAATTGATTACGGGTGTAATTGCGTAAGTTTCGGATATTTTAATGACAACACTGATTTGAAATGAATAACAAGATCCGTAAAGATGAAAATATATTTTCACAAAGTACTTTGACTGATAAAAGATTTTATCAATCGTATTTTTAAAGATAAGTCTTATAACAGACATAGATATGTAAATTTCCCTTCAAATAATATATATTACTTTGTTTTATTTTTTAAGTTTGCAAAGTGAAATATATATATATATATTGTGAAAACCGTGAGAACCGCTATTTTTAGTTGTACGTAGTGCTATGATTAATTGTGTTTTAGTGCTATTTTCAACATTTATTTATATTATTAAAAATAACAACACAATTTATATTAGTAGTTGTGAGAATGATAGCACCATGTGTTTTAAAAATAGCATCATTCACAATTATAAATAGCATCAAATACGGTTCTCATGGTTCTCACGCCAACACTGGTTTTTATTTGAACCGGCATATATA